CACTGTTTATGGAAATTAACAATCCTGTTTCCTGGAATGGGAGCACTGCTCTTCTTGGCAGTGACTCCACTAATAATTTCATCTCATAGCAACAGTCATGCACCAATATTTGGGGTGATATCATGAGTGTAATTTGAATGAGTCAACACTGCGCTGTCAGGAGTCTGAGACCTGATTTATGTAAAGGCAGTTCAACTCCACAGCAGCAGACACAGGAATTCACTTTTAATGTTTCCTCCAGATTTTATCATTAGGTTCTTCATAAAATGTTAAACTTATATGGTTTGATAACAGCCTAGAAATCTAGACGGACCATAGCAGAAGCAAAAGGATTTTGCTTCGCAGGTCCGTCTAGCCAAATTTAATTGTAACCACAGCAGGCCTATCATTGGCCTGATTAGTATTGTGTTATCCCAATCACAGCGCCCTATCGGTTTGGTGAGCTTGATGATGTGATGGAGCGAAGCAACAAAGATGCAGCCGCTTGCTTGAAATGGCTTTGGCATCAACTATGGAGCCAAGAGCAGGTAGAGGAACAGACATGGGCAAAATTGTTGGTTTCCCTTCAGTGAATAAAAAGAAAGAACCCATAATGGTCACAGAAATAACTTGAATCTGACAAAAGTAATAATAAATTTAAAAATCTATGAAATGTAACCAATAAAAGTCAGACATTGCTTTTCAACCATGCTTAAACAGAATTATTTAACAAAATAAACTCATAGAACAGGTCAGGACAAAAGTTATGGTACCCCTAACTTAATATTTTGTTGCATGACCTTTTGAGGGTAATCAAACGATTCCTGTAACTGTCAATGAGACTTCTGCACCTCTCAGCAGGTATTTTGGCCCACTCCTGTTTCAGTCGTCTCAGGTCTGAAGGACACCTTTTCCAGACGGCACGTTTCAGCTCCTTCCGGAGATGCTCAATAGGATTGAGGTCAGGGCTCATAGAAGCTCTCTTTAGAATAGCCCAATGTTTTCCACTTGGTCATTTTTGAGTCAGTTTTAGCCGTGGGTCATTGTCCTGTTGCAAGACCCATGACCTGCGACTGAGACCAAGCTTTCTGACACTAGCCAGCACATTTCTATCTAGAATTCCTCGATGGTCGTGAGATTTCATTGTACCCTGCAAAGATTCAAGACACCCTGTGTCCGATGCAGCAATTCAATTCAACTTTATTTATAAAGCCCCTTCCTACCCCCAATCAAGGGGACCCAAGGTGCTGAAAGCAAAACAGCCCCAGACCATAACAGAGCCTCCTCCATGTTTCACAGTAGGGACAGTGTTCTTTTCTTGATATGCTCCATTTTTCCATCTGAGAACATCGAGCCCATGTGCCGTGGCAAAAAGTTCCATTTTGTCTCATCTGTCAATTTAATTCAATTCAATTCAAAAATACTTTATTAATCCCAGAGGGAACACTGTAAACCCTAAAGTTCTAAATGATCAAATATATTGAGTAGATAAAACTCATAATTTAAAAAACTGTTTTTAGAACTCAAATGTGTTGAGCTTGTTCAACATTTTTCTTGTTTTAAGTACATAGAACTCAAATGTTTTAATTAATCTGAACTATTTCTTTTTTTAAGAAAACATAACTTAATTTTAATGAGTAATATTAACCAAAGAAAGATCGATTTATTATGTTATGTTTCTATATTATTCCATTCATCTTTACGTCAACCCTAAAGTGTGTCTGATAAACAAACTTGTATATTATTTTAAATATTTGTGGATTTACAAGAAAAACAACCACAAACTAGCAATTGTGTTGGATTTCAGGAACAATAAACAACTGGTGGGCGTGGTGCATTGTGGGTAGTCATATTTTCAGTTATTTTGCTCTATTTTGGGGTGTTTATGCGTGTTTATTGTGGATGATTGTTGTTCTCAGTTATTATTTCATTCAGTGTTGCAGATGTGATGTTACTTTTTGTATCATGTTGGCACCATAAGTGAGGAGGTTGGTCAAAGTAATGCTGTACGGCTGTGCTGTCCCATTGTTATTAATACTGTGGTTGTTCACACCAGATACTCTTGACTTGACTTTGAGTGTTCCACTTTTATTGGCTGTTAGCATCTAGGGGTGTGTGATTCATGATCTGGTGTTAATTACTGCCTTGACCAGCCTGCCACATTGTCACTTTTAAGTAAATTCAGCTTATTTGGGTTAGGGTTTAATAGGTCCATTTAGAGTTCGTATAAGTTATATTATTAAGTTAGTAAAAACATGTAATAAAGTTCAATCAAAATGAAATATGCAAGTTTAGTGAAATAAAGCTTTGTAAGTTGCTTACGTGCTAAGTTATAGGTTGGATGTAGTTAAATGCTTTGATTTTATTCAGGTCATATTTTTTAAATTATGGTTAACTTCTAGTTTTTAGATAAGTTAACTTAAAAATTATTAGGTAATCAGTTTCCTCATGAATTTTGAGTTCAGTGAACTTATTCGAGGTTACAGTGTACAGTTGAACTTTTGAGTTGATTGGATGAGCAATTTTAATTGAATAAACTTCAAATGTATGAGTAAAATTTATTAAGAAATTTTATTTATGAAAACTTAAAATTTTCAGTATCAAAACTCAAAAAAATTGAGGCAATTGATTGCCTCAAAATTTTTGAGTTCTGGGAACTTATTCGGGTTTACAGTGAAACTGATTGCTGTAGTAGCTCAGAATAATAATAATAATCAAGTCATCAAAGAGGTGTTGTATATTACAATGGCTGTTGGCAGGAAGGATCTCCAGTAGCGGTCAGTGTTGCAGCCAAACTGAAGAAGCCTCTGACTGAAGACACTCTTCCGTTGTCGGACAGTCTTGTGAAGAGAATGCTCAGGGTTGTCCATAGGACACTCTCCCAGAAGCTTTGTGGCTTGACCACATGTAGTGTAGCATTTTACAGTCAGGCTTTTTATGATTAGTTTTCATCAATGGTGTCCTCTTTGTTCAGCTCCCATGTAGTCCACTTCGGCTCAAACAACAAAGGATGGTCCCATTTGACAATGACGTTCCTTGAGTTTGAAGTTCATCCTGGTTCTCTTTAGAAGCGTTTCTGGCCTCTTTTGTTACCATTCGGATTATCTGTCTCTGATTTGTAATCAATTTTCCTCCTGCAGCCACATCCAGGGAGATGGGCTCCTCCTGCAGCCACATCCAGGGAGATGGGCTCCTCCTGCAGCCACATCCAGGGAGATGGGCTCCTCCTGCAGCCACATCCAGGGAGATGGGCTCCTCCTGCAGCCACATCCAGGGAGATGGGCTCCTCCTGCAGCCACATCCAGGGAGATGGGCTACAGTCCCATGTATCTGGAATTTCTAAATATTATGTAGTCGCAAGAACATCTAGCTGCTAGGAGCTGGTTTTATAGCCTTTACCTTTAACATGCTTGTCTATAATTTTCTTTCTAATCTCCTGAGAAAATGCTTTCCTTCGCTTCCTCTGTGGTACACAATGTCACCAAACAACACAGTGACTACCTGGAGCCCCATATATAGACACACTGACCAGGGTTCTACAACCCCCCCCCCCCCCCCCCCCCCCCCAAAAGGCGCTTCACAACACAATCAGTCATTCACCCATTAAAAACATTCACATGCTGGTGGAGATGAGCTACGATGTAGCCACAGCTGCCGTGGGGTGCACTGACAGAGGTGAGGCTGCCGAACACAGGCGCCACCCATCCTTCTGACCACCACTAGCAAGCAATGTGGGTTAAGTGTCTCGCATTAGCAGCATTCTCTGGCTGGAGCCAGGATCGAACCTGCAACCTTTCGATGAGATAGAAAAGTATTTTGATATTTTTTGAGTGTGTTTCAAAGTATAAACAGAATAATTACCACCTCACTCTTGTGGAAAGCTCCTGCAAAGGCCCCTGATTACACTTTAGTCTTGGCTGCCCCCGGCTAGCTGTTAGCTAACCTGTCTTGTTGGAATTAAACAATGTCTCCAAACTAGGGCCATTCAGAAAGCTCTTTAATATCTAAGGGAGGCACTCTTTATTACTTTACCCAGAAATAAATGTCATGTCTTAATTATTTCTTTGTGTCCCTCCACGCTGTTTAGTAGTAAGCATAAGCCAAAAGTTCATGCTGGTGGGTGAGCTTCAGTGAACATGATTGGACTAGACAAGGACAATTAGGCTAAAATTATCTGTTAATTAAAAGTACACATCTATATCTAGTTTTAGATGAGTGCATTTTCACAAGTTTGGTTTCAATTCCCCATTTACTTTTTTTATTAAATGATTCTAAATGCAAGACACTTAAGCCTGATTTATGCTTCTCCGTCTGCGTCAGTGCGGAGATACGCAACGCCATTATCCGTCCTTGCGTAGGGCACGCAAGTACGTACGGAGTCGAGCCCACTTTTTTAAACATCCGTCGAACGAGACGGATTACGCAAGCTTGTGATTGGTCAGGATGCCGCTGTTGTTTACAGCGCCGCCATTGCAAAGAGAGCCGAGGATAACTAGCGGCAGACACGGAGAAGCTTGAAGAATACCTCGCGAAAAAACTCTAAAAACATGAACGTTTAATTCTCCCGTGACTGGAGGAGTGAAAAGATGCACAGCAAGCGTTTTATTTGTGGACGGAAATAACAGGAAACGTGGGTTTAGAGGTGGGGAGCGCATGAAGCGGTGGGAGAATGAGAGACAAATATGTCCGTGTTAAAAGTCTCTTATATACACAAAAAACACAATATAAACACACGATCTTGGACCAATACATGACAGAATACCACAGAACAGCGCTACGCCCTCTGTTTTCCTGCCGGGCAATTGCTTTGCAAAGCTCTCCAGGAGACGGAGAAGTAAAAGAGCAAAACGCTTCCGTCAATCCGTGCGTGTCTGTCCCTTGCGGAGCTGACGGAGAAGCATAAACCAGGCTTTAGGCAGCAAACCCTTGCTGTTGGCTCTGAAAGAAAACCTACCTGTTAACCATGCAAACACATGCACATGCACACTAATTCACCATTCAAAATGCAGCCAAACAGATACCTGCAGGGGCAGCACAGTGTTGCTGTTGCTGTCCGTGCGAAACATGTTCTCCTCCATCCAGGACTTGGCCCCCAGGGACCCTCCAGAGCGTGGGAACTTGGGAGGAGCGATGACATTACTGGAGAAGGGCTTCTTCAGGGGCGAGACGTGACTGATTGAGCCAGGTACACCGATGCCACTCCGACCACGGTGGTCCCGACCCCAGGACATCCCACCGGAGCCCCAGCCGTTTCCCTGGTGACTGCCCCATGGGGACGGCTTCACCATAGGCTGTGTGCACAACAAAGAGAGGGTGCAGGCAAGTTTAGATTGATCAAATACACTTTTATGTACACACACACACACACACACACACACACGCACACGCACACACACACACACACACACACACACACACACACACACACACGAGTATGTATTGACCCTTTGCACCGACGTCACCTAATCACATGGGGCCACCATGGTGGACGGCAAAAGCATGTAAACAGTGAGCGACACGAGTACTAAACAAAGGGAAAAGTAGAGCCTGAAATTGTTTTACGATCAAAACAAGAACAAACTCCTCCAGCATTCCTTCAACTAGTTCATGCCCAGATCAGTTATCAGAAGAAGTAGCGCATCTAGCGGGGGCTCATAGAGAACTAGCTTACCAACGTTAGCTTACGTTCTCTCTGCAGCTGTTCACCGATGTAAACATGTTGCCGACTTTGCCTAAATTCACCCCTCTGGATTTATAACTTTATGTTGTTAACAGCGTTTCACTTTACACCAAAGCTGATTGTTATAAAGTCCGGGTCCCCACCGGCTTCTGTTGCTGGTGGTGGTACCGGGTTCAGCTGCTGCTCTCACACCGGAATGAGAAGCTCTCTGAACGCCGACGCTCATATAAATAAATAACAGAATTTTAACGAATGTAATCATGCATCGGAGTTTTAAGCTCTGGGATTAATAAAGTATTTTTGAATTGAATTGAATTAATATTGTTAATAATTGTCTCACTTTACACTACAGTGGACGGAGCGCATCCTCCGTGGTGAAATACCCGTCCATCAGGATTATCAATAGCTTGTATAAACACATCACATTTATCCCTGTCCCTGTCTTCCTCGTGAAATAAATGAACGTTAATCTTACCCGCTAAAAACATGCTCGCTGCTAATCTGAGGGCTGCTAGTCCGCTTGATTGATCGCTGCAGTTCATCTCCGTCCTCAGTCTCCATCATAGTTATTAAAAACACAAAACGAGTTGAGTTTACGTCCTTGTCTGTTAGTGCAGCCGACCACACAGCAAGCTAAACCATTTTACTGTCAAATCAACTAAATAAAAACCATAAAAGGCTACACACTGGCTTGTTTTGACTGGTTTCTACGGGTGTAAGCGGTCTTTTTGCCGTCCATCATGGCGAAGGGGGCGGTCACGAGTGGCGTGACGTCACGTGCAAAGGGTCGATACATATTATATATAAAAAGGCCAATTTCACTGGTGTGTGGCAAACAGCCATAAATTTAAATTAATATCAAAAAATTAATACTAGAGATTGACTGATATTTGTTGGCTGATATACCTCTTTAGTTGAATCGAACAGGCACATCTGCGGACAGCCCACTGCTGCTGCGTAATTTTATTTAAATGCACATTTATGTTCCTGAAAAACATCTCCATAATAAATGCTCTAAAACATTATTGTCAACTGACATTTATTTTCATTTACTATATTTTATATAGTTAACACTTGGTCAGTGTATTAATTTGCTTGATAAACTTTAGATGCATTTCTGATTTAAAAGATGTTAAAGTTATTCAGAAGTCAAAAAACTGATCATACGGTATTTATATGCACAACATTTATGATATATATATATATATATATATATATATATATATATATATATATATATATATTTACATACATACACTCAACAAAAATATAAATGCCTTTGTTTCTGCTCTGATTTTTCATGAGATGGACTTAAAGATCTAAAATTCATTCCAGATACACAATATCACCATTTCTCTCAAACATTGTTCACAAATCAGTCTAAATGTGTGATAGTGAGCACTTCTGCTTTTCTGAGATAATCCATCCCACTTCACAGGTGTGCCACATCAAGATGCTGATCCGACATCATGAGTAGTGCACATGTGTACCTTATACTGCCCACAATAAAAGGCCACCCTGGAATGTGCAGTTTTATCTCACAGCAAAATGCCACAAGCATCGAGGGAGCGTGCTGACAGCAGGAATGTCAACCAGATCTGTTGCTCATGCATTGAATGTTCATTTCTCCACCATAAGCCGTCTCCAAAGGCGTTTCAGAGAATATGGCAGTACATCCAACCGGCCTCACAACCGCAGACGACGTGTAACCACACCAGCCCAGGACCTCCACATCCAGCAGGTTCACCTCCAAGATCGTCTGAGACCAGCCACTCAGACAGCTGCTGAAACAATTGGTTTGCATAACCCAAAAATTTCTGCATAAACTGAGAAACCATCTCAGGGAAGCTCAACTGCATGCTCGTCGTCCTCAGCGGGGTCTTGACCTGACTCCAGCTCGTCGCCGTAACAGACTTGAGTGGACAAATGCTCACATTCGATGGCGTCAGGCACGCTGGAGAGGTGTTCTCCTCACGGATGAATCTCGGTTTACATTGTTCAGGGCAGATGGCAGACAGCATGTGTGGCGTTGTGTGGGTGAGCGCTTTGCTGATGTCAGTGTTGTGGATCGAGTGGCCCATGGTGGTGGTGGGGTTATGGTATGGGCAGGCATCTGTTATGGACGAAGAACACAGGTGCATTTTATTGATGGCATTTTGAATGCACAGAGATACCGTGATGAGATCCTGAGGCCCATTGTTGTGCCGTACATCCATGAACATCACCTCATGTTTCAGCAAGATAATGCACGGACCCATGTTGCAAGGATCTGTACACAATTCTTGGAAGCTGAAAATGTCCCAGTTCTTGCATGGCCAGCATACTCACCGGACATGTCACCCGTTGAGCATGTTTGGAATGTGCTTGACCGGCGTATACGACAGCGTGTACCAGTTCCCACTAATATCCAACAACTTTGCACAGCCACTGAAGAGGAGTGGACCAACATTCCACAGGCCACAATTGACAATCTGATAAACTCTTTGCGAAGAAGATGTGTTGCACTGCATGAGGCAAATGGTGGTCACACCAGATACTGACCGGTTCTGAGTCCCCAAACCCACAATAAAGCAAAAAAAAAAAAAAAAACTGCACATTCCAGGGTGGCCTTTTATTGTGGGCAGTATAAGGTACACCTGTGCACTACGCATGATATCAGATCAGCATCTTGATGTGGCACACCTGTGAGGTGGGATGGATTATCTCAGCAAAGCAGAAGTGCTCACTATCACACGTTTAGACTGATTTGTGAACATTGTTTGAGAGAAATGGTGATATTGTGTATCTGGAATGAATTTTAGATCTTTAAGTCCATCTCATGAAAAATCAGAGCAGAAACAAAGGTGTTGTGTTTATATTTCTGTTGAGTGTATATAGCCATTGTTAATAGTAAAACCTGACTGGTCGATCTCTTATTAGTACATATACTTTAAAGCATCTAGTCAACTATGAGCTTATAGCATATAAAAACGAATAAAGGTCTAGCATTCTTTGTAGAAATGCATATTTCTCAACATTAGTGATGCACAATAAAAACTCCTATGACATCAAACGATAATAATGGATAATGATCTGATTGGCTCATCTGAAACAGAAAACTCTTATGATCAGAAAACTAACAGATCTTCCATGTGGACTATTATAGATCCAAAATCATAGTTTCCTAGTTAAGATTTTAAAGTACTTGAAGAAATGTAGTTCTCCGATAAAAGTAGTTGGCACATCACAGCCGTAAAAAAATAATAAAAAATGGAGTTATTGATTTACAGCCATGTTTATCTTTCCTAATGTTAATTACTCCAGGAGGTTTATATGTTTATGTTTATGTTTATTTATTTATTTAGCAGACGCTTTTATCCAAAGCGACTTACAGTTTATAACCTATAGGGCATGTTGTGATCTGTGGGGGAAACCGGAGTACCCGGAGGAAACCCACGCATGCACGGGGAGAACACGCAACTCCACGCAGAAAGGCCGCAGCCGAGTTTCGAACCTGCAACCTTTGTGCTGCGAGGCAACAGTGCTAACCACTGCGCCACCATGCAGGTGGTAAATCTGTTGGACTCTAAAGTCAATCAGTCATTGAAGTAAATCCACTGGTTACTTTATGGATTTTTTATTAGAAGGTGTCTGTCGGTTCAAGAGATATCTAGCTATACTAGCAAATACACGAGAAGACCCTTCTCAACATGTTTAGGCTCAAGCGAGTTAGTTGAAGCAGAACTGGAGAACAGAACATGAGGAGCAGCGGAGAGTGGAACAGACGGATGGTGTCAGATGAGACAATTGTCACAGTTAGTCACTTTTCACAATAATATCCTCATTTTAAATGAGGAGCTGAAACTGATTTTTGAGCAGGTAAACTTATCAAGGTGTTGCATCACTATTTAGCACATGAATAGCTGGTTCTGGTTTCAAGGCTCCAAAAACTTCCTAGTATTTATTTTTGCTGCTTAAAATAAAAATGTCAACAGGGTTGAATAGGAATGATGTTGACTGAAAACAGTGGAACTTGTCCTACTTTTTAGATTCTTTTATGTGCATGTGACTGTGGGGATGGCGGTCATGTGACAGTCTCTGATGGTTTCATGCTCTGGTTTCATGGAAATAAACCTATTGAACCCAGCAGGGTGAGAGGTCAAAGGTCACTGACTATGTTTACATGCAGCCAATATCCGGGTTATGATCGGGTTAAGGTCGGTATTCGGGTTTCTGAGTTGATCAGAATAACCCGTTTACAAGCATAAATAGAAAGAGTTACCTCTAACTCTCCGGCCCGACCCCCACAATAATTGTCTGTTTATCGTCCCCCCAAGTTCAGCCCGGAGTTTTTAAATGAACTCTCTGCTCTTTTATCCCATCTGTCCGCCCTTTCCCCAAATGTAATTTTACTTGGTGATTTTAATATTCATATGGACAATATGGCCCTCCCCCTCAGCAAAGACTTCTCCTCATCTTTGGACAGCCTCAGTTTTCATCAATATGCCAATTTTCCCACTCACATTAAAGGTCACACCCTGGATTTAATCTGCTGCTCCGGCCTGACCCCCTCCAACTGTACAGCTGACCCGCTCCCTTTCACGGACCACTTCCTCATCTCCTTTTCTGTTC